AGCCCTGGTGACAATCCTGAATCTCTTTAGGAGAGAAAAACTTGGCGTGCCTGTCTGGCTAAGTCATTAGAGCGTGTGGCTCTTGATCTCGGGGTTGTGAGTTTGAGCCCCACGTTGGGTGTAGAGATTACTTTTCTTTTTTTGTTAAAGATTTTATTTATTTATTTGACAGAGAGACACAGTGAGAGCAGGAATACAAGCAGGGGGAGTGGGAGAGGGAGAAGCAGGCTTCCTGCCGAGCAGGGAGCCTGATGCGGGGCTCAATCCCAGGACCCTGGAATCATGACCTGAGCCGAAGGCAGACGCTTAATGACTGAGCCACCCAGGCGCCCCAAGATTACTTTAAAAAAAAAAATCTTAAAAAAGATAAGAGCCCGATGGAATTTAATAACTTTAACTTCTGATCCTCACTATTGATATACCACAATGGAAGTTCCATTTTCTGATAAATGGCAACAGAAAATATTAGCTGGGTGACTCAGTTGTTAAGCGTCTGCCTTCGGCTCGGGTCATGATCCCAGGGTCCTTGGATCGAGCCCCGCGTTGGGCTCCCTGCTCAGCGGGAAGCCTGCTTCTCCCTCTCTCACTCCCCCTGCTTGTATTCCCTCTCTCGCTGTGTCTCTCTCTGTCAAATAAATAAATAAAATCTTTAAAAAATATATATATAGGGACGCCTGGGTGGCTCAGTCGTTAAGCGTCTGCCTTCGGTTCAGGTCATGATCCCAGGGTCCTGGGATCGAGTCCCACATTGGGCTCCCTGCTCAGTGGGGAGCCTGCTTCTCCCTCTCCCTCTGCTGCTCCCCCTGCTTGTGCTCTCTCTCTGACAAATAAATAAATAAAAATCTTTAAAAAATATATATATATATATTAGCTTGAATAAATTTAATAATCAGTATGCATATAGCAAATTCCTGCTCAGTGCCTTTGAATTTTTAATCAATTTTATTGAGGTATAATTTATACATAATAAAATTGAATTTTAAGTACATATTTGAGTTTTGACAAATGCATTTACAGTTGTGTCACTACTACCACAATTATGAGCTGCTAGAACATTTTCATCACCTCCCTGAATTCCCATGCCCCTGCACAGTGAATCTTTCCCACCATTTGATCATTGTGTATGATCCATTTAATGTATTGTTCAATTTGGTTTTCTATATTTTGTCGAGGATCTTTGCATCTATGTTCTTCAGGGATGTTGACCTGTACTTTTCTTTCCCTGTAGTGTCTGGTTTTGGTATCAGGGTAATGGTGGCCTCATATAATGAATTCTGGCCTTTGGCAACCACTTACTTGCTTTCTGTCACTATAATTTTGCCCTTTTTATGATTTCAAATAAATGGAATCATACTGTATATAGTCTTTTGTATCTGACTCTTTAACTTGAGATAATGCTTTTAAGATTCATCTATGTCTTTGCATGTATCAGTTTATTCCTTTGTTATTGCTGGGTAGTCTTCCGTTGTATGATTACAATTTGTTTATCCATTCTGCAGATGATCCACATTTGGATTAGTTCTAGGTTTTGATTGTTAGGAAGAATGCTGCTATTAACATTTGAAGACAGGTCTTAACATGGCCATATGTTTTCAGTTTTCTTGGGTAAAGACCTAGGAGTGGGGTTGCTGGGTCATGTGGTTAAGTTTATGTTTTACTTTTACAAGAGCTGGTTTTCCAAAGTGATGGTTCCATTTTTCATTCCCATTGTTTATGTACGAGAGTTCCAGATGCTCCACATCTATGTCAAGACTTGGTATGATCAGTCTCTTTCATTTTGGCCATTCCGGTAGGTATGTATTGGTATCTCAGTGTGGTTTTAATTTGCATTTCCCTGATTCTAAAAGGAAAAACCTACAGTTTTCTACCTGCGTGGGGCAAAACCCAGTCCTTCCTCCTCTGTTTTTCTCCTGGGTGTCTTTTACTACTCACACAGAGTATACCTCTTCTAGTTACCAAATGTGTGGGGCTCCCCACCCCCAATCAATTTTCTGTGACACCAGCTGGGTGTCTTACACTTCAACTGACACTATTTACACTTCAACTAAATTCTGACACTATTTACCCAGAGATAACATCAGATATTACAGGTGAAGGACTTAGTCCCACAGGAATACCCCCCTCCCCCCATCCCTCTGCTTTGGACACCAGTCACAAGTCTAGGTTGTCGTCTCTGCTTCTGACCGGTCAGCTATAGACTGGAGATTCTAGTGACCCCTCCTTGGATTCTATTAATTTGCTAGAGTGGCTCACAGAACTCAGGGCAACACTGTTCACCGGTTTATTAAAAGGTAAATACAGATGAACAGCTAGATGAAGAGCTACATAGGGTGAAGTCTGGGAGGGTCCTAAGTGCAGGAGCTTCTGTCCCTATGGAGTTGGGGTGTATCACCCTCCCAGTATGGATGTGTTGGACAACCTGGGAGATCTCTGAACCCCCTACTATTGGGACTTTACGGAGGCTTCCTCATGTAGGCATGATTAATTATTAACTCCATTTCCAGCCCTTCTACCCTCTCTGGAGAACAGGACTGAAAAATCCAGCCTTCTAATCATGGCTTGGTCTATCTGGTGACCAGCCCCATCCAGAAGCCATCCAGGAGCTCATTCAGAGTCACAACAGAACAAAACATGCTGCTTGTGCTTATCACTTAGGAATTAACAAGGGTTTTAGGAGCCTGGTGTCAATGAGCCCGGTCAAAAACCAAATATTAAAACTAGATGCTCCTAATGTTCTTACCACTTAGGAAATTAGAAGGATTTTAGGAGTCTTGTGCCAGGAACAGAGGGGCAGAGACCAAAATACATATTTTCTGTTATTTCACACTGATGATTAATGATGTTGAGTAGCTGTTCATGGCCTACTGGCCACTTGTGTATCTACTTTGGAGAAATGTCTGTTCAAATCTTTTGCCCGTTTTTTACTGGTTGTCGTCTATTTTTGAGTTATAAGAGTTCTTTCTAATTCCGGATACAAGTCCTTTATCACATATGTGTTTTGCATATATTCTGTCCTATCTGGCATGCCTTTTCATTTTCTTGATAGGAGTCTTTCACAGAATAAGAGTTTTAATTTTTTTTTTTTTTTAAGATTTTATTTTATTTGACAGAGACAGCGAGAGAGGGAACACGAGCAGGGGGAGTGGGGAGAGGGAGAAGCAGGCTTCCTGCTGAGTAGGGAGCCTGATGCAGGGCTCCATCCCAGGACTCTGGGATAATGACCTGAGCCGAAGGCAGACGCTTAACAACTAAGCCACCCAGGCACCCAAAAGTTTTAAATTTTGATAAAGCATAATTTATCATCTTTTTTCTCTTATATGTTGAGTTTTTTTTTTATCTTACTCTAAGAAATTTTACCTAATTCAAGGTAAAGATTTCACCTGTCTTTTCTCATAGGAGTTCTATAGTTTTAGCTCTTATATTTAGGTCTGTGGTCCATTTTGAGTTCCTTTTTACTTATATGAGGTAAGGGTTGAGGGTCATTCTTTTATATACAGAGAACCAATTGTTCCAGCACTATTTAGTTAAACTGATCTTGCCTCATTGACCACATGTATGTGTATGTATGTGTGTATCAGTCTGTTTCTGGGTCCTCTCTTCTGTTCACTTGATCGATCTTCATGCCAAAAATACACTGTCTTGATTGTTGTAGCTTTAAAGTAACTCTTGAAATCAGTTAAAGTCTTTCAACTTTATTCTCTTCCACAATAGTTTTCATTTCTGTAGGTCCTGTGCATTTCCATGTAAATTCTAAAATCAGTTTGGCACTTTTTTTTTTAAAGATTTTATTTATTCATTTGAGAGAGAGAACACAAAGGGAGAGGGAGAAGCAGGCTCCGTGCTGAGCAGGGAGCCCGATGCGGGGCTCGATCCCAGGACCCTGAGATCATGACCTGAGCCAAAGGCAGACACTCAACTGACTGAGCCACCCAGGTACCCCCAGTTTGGCATTTTCAACAAAAAAGCTTGCTGGAATTTTTACTGGGATTGCATTTTATCAATAGATTAATTTGGCAGAAATTGACATCTTAATAATATTGAAAATTTTTATCTGGGCTTTGATTTTTGGATGTTCATTATATTTTACTAATATCCATGAAGCAAGATTTATTTATTTATTTATTTAGTATTTTCATTAATATTCTGTAGAAACATTGAGAAGAATTTATGTTGTTTCCAACTTCCCCTTATGTGACTGAATAAAGATTTTTACCAGACAGGATAGGACCAGCTCTTAGATTTGGTTCCTTTTTTTGGTGAGCAAAAGAAAAAAGTAAAAGAGGAAGGTAAATAATTTTTGACTGACCTAAGAAGATCTTTATAACTCTTAAACCCGTGCAAACCAGTGACATTATTTATTTCATTTTAAGCCTAGATCTTATCCCCATCACATAAAATTAATATATCTTCTTAATTATCTTCTAGATCAGTGCTTTTCAAATTATGGTTTCAAAACATTTTTAGTATCATATACAATGTAGTAGCTTTAGAGTTTTTTGAATAGCACCTGGTGCCCTAAACTACTTGATGAGATTTTAATTTGGGGAGATTCATTTCTGGCACAGTATTAGTGGTGGTGAAAAATGTAAACTGCTGATGGGAGCAAATGAGAAAATCCTAAATCTGGGGTCTCCTTTCTTAAATTTAGGATAGACAAAAAGCAAAGAGATTAGAAAACAACCCTCCGCTTCTTGGAAAATTTGATACTCTGTGACTTAAAAAGTTTACCTAAGTCTCAGTTTAATTTAATCATTTCCACGGACCAGCCTTGAGTAAAAAAACAGATATTTTGAATATTGGAAGTGGTCTCTGTTTTTAGGATTCTAGATTAAAATAAAAATGAAACAAGTACAATTCTGTTGTTTGAAATTGCTGGAGTATTTTCATAAACAGAGGCATAACCAAAATCATTAGCTGGTACCAGAACCACTGCCTTCTCCTCACTCTAATGGAAATTTTTATCTAGAGAAGCAAATCTCTTACCCTGGGTTTTGTTACAGCTAGTCCTCCTCGATTTGTGACAGTAGAAGAACTTCTAGAGACAGCGAAAGGAGTCACTAACATGGCTCTAGCCCATGAAATTGTAGTAAATGGAGACTTTCGGATTAAACCGGTTGAATTACCAGAAGACAGGTAAGGCGGTTACTGAGTTACCTTGTTTAGTGGAACTCTGCCATTTACCAGTTCTGGAAAGGTCTTCTCCGCTTGATGTCAGTATATTCAAATGTATTTTTTCCTTTTGTATGTTGGTGCTCAGAAAAACCCCACAGTACGTCTATACTTGGAATCACTCTTGGAAATGGATCTCAGGACCACTGATCATAAATAAAAGGTCTAGGAAGTCTCCTGTGGACATCTTTCACGTCAGCTTCTCCTTACTGCATAGGACTTAGCTGTCCTATCTTGTGTTTTCGTTGTATTGTTTCATTCATTTCTTGTAACTATCACATCGTACTATAGTTGTTGGTTTACTGTGTTCTTCACCAGAGTGTAAACTCTACAAAAACGAAGATTATGTGTTATTTTCTATGTCCATAGCACCTGGCACATATCCTATTAAATCTAAAACTCTTGATTGTAAAGTGTACCTTTTAAAATGTATTGTCATAAGAAAGAAAAATCATTGCCCGTTACAATTGTAAAAGTGCCGTGATAAACACTGGGAGTCTGTTAGCCAAGGAGGAGGAATGGCTGCTGGGTTGCCAATCTATAGAGTCGCCCACATGAGCCTTCTATGACTTTACGGACGTTTCTTCTATGTTCTGCAAAGACAGTACTTTTTCACATTAATCATGAAGAACTACTTTTTTTGCTCTCACAATATACTTTTTTTTTTTTTAAGATTTTTATTTGTAAGTAGTTTGTACACCCAACGTGGGGCTCAAACTCTTAACCCTGATATCATGCTCTACTGACGAAGCCAGCCAGGCACCCCTAAAGACTGGTTTTAGTGAGATGTTATATGTTAGTTTTACAGTTTGGTACCTAATTAAGTAAGTGTCTCATAGATCACATAGGAATAGGATATTTTCTGGAAAAAAGTCCTTTAGCCTATATACATGCTGAGTTGTTATCTTAAACTACTTAATCATAAATATCTTAAGAAACTTAATATCTTAAGAAAATTAAGAAAACAGCTCTGAACTTTTCAATATGCTTTTAATCATATGGCACTGTTATATGCTATTAATTGGCCCAATGTCATCTGTCCAATGAGTTGAAAATTATTCTGTCCAATGAGGTATTTATTGAAATAAATCACTAAACTTAAAATAAGGTATATCTGGGAAATCTTTTCTTCATCCAAATTATTTTTAAAATTTCTCACCCTAAACCTATAGAATTTGTGCTTTTGAGAGTGATTTGAGGCTCAAATATTTTATTTATTTATTTTTCTTTTTTCATTTGTTTCCAGCTTGGAGAAGAGAGTAAAGGAGATTGTACATAAAGCTTTTTGGGATTGCTTGAGCATCCAGCTAAGTGAAGAGCCCCCGACATATGACCATGCCATCAAACTTGTTGGAGAAATCAAAGAGGTGAGGCAGAGAGCAAATTGTGGTGCTTTTCTGGCGTGTTAGGAGTATTTAACCTCTCTGTGTTACTGCACCAGAAGACTAAAGAAATCGAAGGATAAGCTAAAGTACTTGCTGAAATGTGGATTAAGACTATTTTTGGCTCAATGCCCTTTTAAAAATTTGAAACGAGCTATGATAACCTGAAGGTTTTATGTTTGTAAATGAAGGTATATATTTAAAGATTTATTTATTTAGAGAGAGAGAGCACACATGCAGGGGCAGGGTCAGAGGGAGGGAAGAAAGAATCCAGGCAGACTCTGCACTGAGTGTGGAGCCCAACATGGGGCTCAATCTCACGACCCAAATGACCCTGAATTCGTGACCTGAGCTGAAACCAGGAGTTGGACACTTAACTGACTGAGCCACCCAGGTGCTCCTGAAGGTTTATATTTTTAGAAACAGAATTATTTAGAGAAAACAAAAGTTATTTTACAATATGGGTGATTTATAAAAATTTTAATAGGTGTGGATGTGTTCAATTTATAATGGACAAAAAGTGATTCAGTCTGTGGGATAGAGAAGGCGATAAGTAGAAGTTAAGACTCTTTCTGCAAGTGCCTTTAGCGGTCGTATCAAAGAAGAAATGCATCCGTGAAAATTGGCATCTATGGTTGGCTCAGAGGCTCACATTAATTATGTTTTTTCTCACTTTTAACAGTTTATCTTTTATCTGGTTGACTGCTACATAAACCTTCAATGGAAGCTTAAATAGCTACTCTAAATGATTTGCAAACGGGCAGCTGGCTGGCTCAGTCAGTAGAGTGTGCGACTCTTGATCTCAGGGTTATGAGTTCGAGCCCCATGTGGGGCATAGAGCCTACTTTAAAAATAAATAAATGAGGGGCGCCTGGGTGGCTCAGTCATTAAGCGTCTGCCTTCGGCTCAGGTCATGATCCCAGGATCCTGGGATCGAGTCCCACATCGGGCTCCCTGCCCCGCGGGAAGCCTGCTTCTCCCCACAAATTCTTATAACATTAAAAAAAAATAAAAAAACACTGGTTGCTGCCCGCTGAAATGCTCTCACAAGCCCCTAACAGTTTGGGCGGCACGGCCCTGGGAAAAGTCCTCTAAGAAGCGGGCGGCGTCCCCCCCGAGTCGCTGGGCCGTGAGCAGTTCTGTGCCCTTGCCCGCTCCTCGCGGCCCCCAGTGCTGCGTGTAAATGCCTCAGTTCATCGGGCAGCACGAGGCCACCCCTGCGGAGACGTCCGCTCAGGTCCGTGTGGTTCCCAGCCTACAGGATATTCTCTACTGGTCAGAAGTAAACACGGCCTCTGACAGGGCCCAGTTCAGAGGATTCCTGGAGGAGAATGTCCCCAGACTTTCTCATCCTTACGAGACGGAGGCATTTTCCTGCCGAGTTCGCACAAAGCGTGCCTGTGCTCGGTGCGGTGAGGGGTGTGTGTGCACATGCTGGGGTAGGCCGGGAGGGGTTTGCTGAGCTGAGGCCCTGGCACGGGGGCAGCCCTGGGCTGTCACCGAGGTCCTCCCGCCCCCCGGCAGACCGGTTGTCTACTGCTTAAAGCTACCAGGAGGGGCCCTGTCTGGCACTTCTTCAGGGGGTTCCCGCCCTGCGCTTCAGTATCCACCCTGGCTCTCAGGTTGGCACAGAGTTGGTACTAGCAGGGAGTCCCAGGGCTTGCACGTTTGCTCCCACGACTCCTGCTGTACCAAGGGTTTAGGCCCAGAACAAAAGCCTTACAGGAAACCCACCAGCAGGAGGGCTCCCCACCGATACTCCAGGAGAGCCTGAGCGCTCTGAAAAATCAAGGTGCTCATTTTTTTTAACTTCGGGATTTCAGTGTTACTTTTTTAAAGTAGTTAATACGTTCCCATGTTTCACAAATCGAAAGGGACAGAAGGGTATCCAGTGAAAAGTTTCTCTCCCACTCCTGTCCCACAGCTCCCTGATTCTGGATTCTTGCGTATTACTCAGTGGCATTCAAGATTTCAGGCTTATTTCAGCACACAGATGCTAGCAAGAAGTTGGGTTTGGGGTTGTTAGCGCTGGTATAGTCTCAGCCCTTCCCTTCCCACTGTCCTTTCTAGGAGAGAGAGAGAGAGAGAGTCTCCTGAGTCAGGTGTCCACAGCCTGGAAGGTTGGGGGCAGGGAAGAGAGTCCTAGACTTTCTCTTTGAACATGTCAGTCTATGAACTGACTCAGATTGTGACTCTTATCAGGGCTTGGGCTCTTAACTTGGCTTGAGCTCGGTGGATGTGCACTTTGCTTATGGGCTCTTTCCTCCCTGCCTTCTCCTTTCCCTTCTGTACTCTAGCTCCTTCCATCTGAAGGACGCCCTGACTACCATTGGGGAGAAAGTCTGCCTGGAGGTGAGCAGCTGCCTAGCCCTGTGTGGGCTCACCCCCTTCACCACGGAAAAGGAGGCCGTGCTCAAGGGCCAGATCCAGGCTGTAGCCAGTCCCGACGACCCCATCCGCAGGATCATGGGTACGTTTTGGGGGGAAAGATGGGCAGCAGGGATGTGCCCTTGGAGGGGCTGGCAGACCAGCCCCTCTGAAGAAATCTAGAAGGCTTTGATAGGTTATGAGTGCTGATGAGTGAGGAGAGAGTGAGTAATCACCACCAATGAGCATGACCCAAAGATCTGGACAAGTGACCAGGCAGCTGTCATTGTTCTGAGGGCTCTGACTTTGGAATCACAGGCTTTGTTCAGAACCCTGCTCCAGCACTGTGAGGTAATAGAAAATATAAGCATTGGTCTCTGCCCCCGTTCCCAGCACAGGGCTCCTAAAATTCTTGTAATTTCCTAAGTGATAAGAGCACTAAGCGCATCTTTTGTTCTAAGATTGGTCTTTGACCTGGATCCTGACACAGAGCTCTTAAATCCTTTGGAATTTCCTGGGTGATAGGAGTGTCTTTTGTTCTAATGAGGCAACTCTGGGTGGGCTCTGAAAGACCAGGCCATGATTAGAAGGCTGGAATTTTCAGCCCCGCCCCCCCGCCCCCATTCTCCAAGAAAGGAGAGAGGGGCTGGAAATGCCTATGATGAAGCCGCCATAAATATTCCAGAAGTACAGGGTTCCGGGAGCGTCTGGGTTATTCATGTAATGGGAGGGTGATGGACCCCAACTCCACCAAAGCTCCTGCCCTCAGGACTCTCCCAGACCTCACCCTATGTGTCTTTTGTTCTGGTTTTCATCTGTATCCAAATCCTTTATTATGTAATAAGCTAGTAAACATACGTGTTTCCCTGAGTTCTGTGAGCTGTTCTAGCCAATAATCAAAATCCAGGGGAGAGGAGGTCATGGGACCCTCCAGTTTGTAGCCAAATCAGACAGAAGCTGTGGGCGTCCTGGGGACCTACTACTTGCAGTTGGCTTCTGAAATGGGGGTAGGGGGGCAGCCTCGTGGGACTGAGCCCCTGGCCTGTGGGATGTGAAACTCCCTCCAGGTAGTGTCAGAATGGAGTACAATAGTAGGACACCCTGCTGGTGTTGCAGAGAATCGCTTGGTGTGGGAAGCCCCTGCCCTCGCCTACATCTGTTGCAGGTGTGTTTGGGATGTGTGGTGAGAATGAAGGAGGAGCCGGGGTTTTCTTCACGAGCACCTGCTGTGTGGCTTGAGCAGGTGACCGGATGCTCCAGGTTCCTCATTTCTAAAAGGGATAATACCGGGGCGCCTGGGTGGCTCAGTCGTTAAGCGTCTGCCTTCGGCTCAGGTCATGATCCCAGGGTCCTGGGATCAAGCCCCGCATCGGGCTCCCTGCTCAGCGGGAAGCCTGCTTCTCCCTCTCCCACTCCCCCTGCTTGTGTTCCCGTTCTCGCTGTGTCTCTCTCTGTCAAATAAATAAATAAAATCTTAAAAAAATAAATAAAAAATAAATGATTTGTAAGCATGTTTTCTATAGACTGTTAAGAGATTAAAATATGTATCACAGTAGCAACTGTATTACAGTAACAATGGATAAGCCCTTATTTGGTAATTATAAATTCCTTTGCATATAATAAAAAATGATGTCTGACTAAGAAACTTTGATTAAACTTGGCTGTGCTCTCTTGTAGACTCTCTTATCTTTCTTGCTGCCTGGTCACACTAGACTGAGAAACCAGATAACAGAAGTCTTGGATCTGGATCTGATAAAGCAAGAAGCAGAGAATGGAGCCTTAGACATTTCCAAGCTGGCAGAATTCATTATTGGCATGATGGGGACCCTGTGTGCACCTGCTCGAGATGAGGAAGTCAGGAAACTAAAGGACATTAAGGAAATAGTGCCCCTTTTCAGGTATGGGAATCATGTTAATCACCTTCAGTGTGCTTAAAATACAGAGCCTTTTCTCTTGTTCTTTTTAGATTTATTCATCTTAGAGTGGGGGGAGGGGAAGAGGGAGAGAGTCTCAAATAGACTCCCTGCTGAGCGTGGACACCAGGCTCAATCAGAGCCTATTTTCAGATTTGGACTTCAAGTGTAGATACTCATAAATTAAAAAAAAAAAAAATTAAAAAGCAAACATTTTGTAAAATATAGAAAAGTAGAAAGAAGGAAAAACAATCACCCATAATTTTACCATCTAAAGGCAAAATCACTGTTAATCATGTTGATATTTTTTCTCCCTCAACATTTTATTTTGAAAAATTCCAAACTTACAAAAAAGTTGTAAAAAAGAAAACCCAAAAACAAAAAACCCGTGCAGTGAACACTCATATATCCTTTATACAGCTCTCCCAGGTTTTTTGTTTGTTTGTTTTAAAGATTTATTTATTTGAAAGAGAGAAAGGGAGTGTGGTGGAGAGGGAGAGAGCTCGGAGCCCAACGCGGGACTCAGTCTCACGACCCTGAGATCATGACCTGAGCCAAAATCAAGAGTCAGATGTCTAATTGACTGAGCCACCCAGGAGCTTCCAGACATTATGACATTTTAGCCTTAAATGTTTCAGTAGGTGTCATATTAATAATAATATTAACTTCCTTTGGTCTTTTGGGTGTTTATTTTTAAACCTAATCGTAATCAAATTTATATAGTTTTTTTTTAAAATAGGCTCCACACCTAGCGTGGGGCTTGTACTCATGACCCCAAGATCAAGAGTTGCATGCTGTACCGACTGAGCCAGCCAGGTGCCCTAAATTTATATAATTTTTATGATATTATTGACAAAGGATTGACACGATGCTGCCTGATAATTTGACTTTTGGTTAACTGCTTAGCTCTATTTTTCCTGTAAACAGATAAAGGTGTTAGGCCTCAAAATGCTACCATGCAACATTGCTTATGGGGAAAGTGACCTCGGATTGGTAAATTGCATCTGGACTAAAAGAAATGATAATGAACTATAAATACTGGATGGGACACCACACGTTGGATGTCCTTTAGGGGAGTAGCTTTTATAACAGGTCATGCCCCTAGTGGAGACGCTAGAAGCCGTGCCATAGAATTATTACAAAATATATTAGCACATGAGGCTTGTAAGCCAGGTGGTTCCCATGGATCTGTCTGCTCTTGGCTGTTACTGGAACTTGCTGAAGAGGAATGGTTAGTGCTGCCTTGTTGGCCGGCTGTGTGACTAGATGATGCCAGACCCGGGGCTTACAGTTGTGTCATGAGCCCAAGTGTTCAGTTGACTCAAAGAGGTCCTCCTGGTGGGCATTGCAGGCCTGACTTTTTCTAGAAACATTATACCCTTAATCTTTCACTTTTTTTTTTAATTGAAAGTGTCATTGCTATAATTGTATATTCATGTGGAGTTGTAAGAAATAACACAGTACACTTTATCCAGTTTCCCCCAAAGCTAACATTTTGCAAACCTGTAGTGTATCACAACTAGAATATGGACATTGATACAATCCAGTGACCTCACTTAGATTTCCAGTTTTACTTGAATGTGTTTTGTGTGTATGTATGTTAATTTTTATATAATTGTATCCCCTATGTAAGTTTGTGTATTCACCACTACATTCAAGGTCCTGGGCAGTTCCAACCCCATAGGATCCCTTTTATGACCAACTTAGATTATTTATTTTTTTTTTTTTTAAGATTTTATTTATTTATTTGAGAGAGAGAATGAGATAGAGCGAGCATGAGAGGGGGGAGGGTCAGAGGGAGAAGCAGAGTCCCTGCTGAGCAGGGAGCCCGATGCGGGACTCGATCCCAGGACTCCAGGATCATGACCTGAGCTGAAGGCAGTCGCTTAACCAACTGAGCCACCCAGGCGCCCCAACTTAGATTATTTTTAAAACTACCCATAAGCATTTGCAATGGCTGCAAGATAATTCATTTGCATAGATATAGTTAACTATTACTCTGTTAAGATGGACAATTAGAGTAGGTATAATTATTTGCTATTTAATCCTGCCATGAACATCCTTGTGCATAAAACTTTTTTCTATATTTTAGGTTATTTCCTAAATATAAGTTGTTTTTTTTTTAAGATTTTATTTATTTCACAGAGAGAGAGATAGCAAGAGCAGGAACACAAGCAGGGGGAGTGGGAGAGGGAGAAGCAGGCTTCCCGCGGAGCAGGCGGGGCTCGATCCCAGGACCCTGGGATCATGACCTGAGCCGAAGGCAGACGCTTAACGACTGAGCCACCCAGGCACCCCTAAATATAAGTTCTTAAATAGGATTACTATGTCAGAGGATAGGAACAGTTGTAAGACTCTCATTGCATGTTACCAAGTTGCTTTCCCAAAAGTTCCTTTCATTTTCAGCTTTTTTTTTTTTTTTTAAAGATTTTATTTATTTGAGAGCAAGAAAGAGCTGGCACAAGTTGCAGGAGGAGGGACCGAGGTAGAGGGAGAAGCAGGTTCCCCGCTGAGCAGGGAACCCTACTCGGGGCTCGATCCCAGGACACTGGGATCATGACCTGAGCCAAAGGCAGATGCTTAACCGACTGAGCCACCCAGGTGCCTCTTATTTTCAGCTTTCTTGATATTATATAAGTATTTGGTATATATAAAAATGTTCTGCATTGTGAAGTTAACCTCCGGGTTTAGAAAGCATTGAAAAGACCTCCCAGGGCGCCTGGGTGGCTCAGTTGGTTAAGCGACTGCCTTCAGCTCAGGTCATGATCCCAGGGTCCTGGGATCAAGTCCCACATCGGGCTCCCGGCTCAGTGGGGAGCCTGCTTCTCCCTCTGACCCTCTCCCCTCTCCCCTCTCATGCTGTTTCTCTCCTGCTCACT